GACTTATTACAGTCATCGGAGCCTTTTCCTAAGGAGAGGCCTCAACAACCAGTTTTCTATCGTGCTTCGATCATTAGGTGCTGTTTGTGGCCGCTGTCCCAACGGACCTATTAAGATGACACGAGCGATCCGTATTTGCATATCATCAAGGCAACTCTATGAACTTGCAAGTAAATAGCAACAGGTGTTCAAGAAAAAAAGTTTTGTTCCACTTAGTTTTTTCATGCCCAATACCTATGTACGAGCAAATTTTGTGGGCAAAAGAAATGAAATGTGGTTTGCATGGCAGGATGAGGACTGAATTGGCGATCATCAAGTAGTGCAAAAAGCTCAAAATTCCAACCAAAATGGATGGACTAAAACCAAATAAACTCACTGCAAATTACCCAAACAGCACGGTATATGTTCTTGTTCAAACAAATGATCTCACTCTGAACTATCCAAAATGCACTAAATCTAAAGCATTGCCATATTGCAGAGATAGAAAAAAAGAAAAGGAACACATTTAGCTCCCAGTTGAGTAGTTGACCATGGTGTAATGAACCATGGATTGGCGGTGTGGTGTGTGAGCAGTCCACCATGGACCGAGTCCATGCTGAAGGGTAGGGGTCCTTGTATTTCCATTGTATTTCCTCTTTTATTCTTCTGAAGGAAAACGACAAGAAAGTGTGGACATGTCATCCTGATGTCATCAAGCTAACAAGCTAGGAACGCTTGTGCAAAGCAGAGCACGGAACAGAGCACGACTGGTGCTTGGTGGCCATTTCCCAGCAACGCAAGCTTGCGGTTGCGTAGTGTGCCTTGTGCGCGCGCGTGCGTGGAGAAGGAGCGCAGGGGTGCGGGGAAGCTCACCTACGGCTTACCAAGGGTGGAGGAGCATGGCCGGGACTGGCTGTTCCCTAGAGCGAGCTCACGCCTGGCAATGGCGGTGCGACGCAGGAGTTCGCGGGCGTGATGCTTGTGCTGCCCAGCTGGTAGTGGTGGGCTGGTGGTTCACGCTAAGGAGCTCAGCCGCTCACCATGATCACCGATCTATTGCAGGCTCTGTGGACTGCAGGTGGCGAGATCAGCGATCTATTGCAACGGACATCGGAGCGGCGTCCTGATTCTACGTGCCTGGCGTGTGTCGGCGGCGGTGGAGACCTGAGGCCGCAGCGGCGCAAAGCAGCAGCGTCAGTGGGGAGGGCACGGCGCCACAGAAACTTGAGCGGGGTGATTCGGCGACGGCTCCGCTGGTTGTCGTCGTCCGTGTGCTTCTGCTAGGATTAGCCGTGGTCGTCTTCGCCCATGTGCTGCTGTTAGGATTTGGGTTTGGGTGTTCCGTTTCACATAGCTGGAAGGGAAGACAGATGGGGATATAGGGTCCTAGTGACGTACCTGGTGGGTGCTCGTCGCTAGCTCGACGTCGTGACAGGGTACGCCAGCGTCAGCGGGTAGGGCGGCGAGGCGACGGGCGCTCTAGGGGCTTCGAGGCGACGGGGACAAGACGTGGCGTCAGACGGGGCCGGTACGGGACAGGACGTGGATAGGGCGCGATTGAATGATGGCTTTGATCGGCGGACGGCGTGTGCGATGGCGAAGGTGGCGCGAGGGCCAGGCATGAGGAGGTGAGGACGCGGTGCCATGCGACTGCAGAGTGCCAGGGAGGTCGCGGTGCAGGTGACGGCGCGGTCTCGCGTGATTGGTGGCATGGGGTTATCGCGGAATTGATCACGATTGTTACGGGAATTGATTTTTTGCCTTCCTGATTTGCTGCGGCTGTTATGGGGATTGAGCTGGTCGCATGGAGCGAGTGCGCGTTGCCTTCTTGATCTGATCGCATGGAGCCAGTGCGCGACGCTATGTGGACGAAATCGCACGGGATCCCTGGTGGAAAGATTGCTGATTCTTGTTGCCTTGTTTGTGATTTTTGTTGCCACACGGGTGCACGGAATAGAACGAGCGGTTTTGGTGTCGCACATGTGGGCGAAATAGTTAAGAATGTTTTAGCTGTAGATATAGAGATTAGGCATATACTATTCAGCGAACAAACAGTATTTTTCTCTCACAATAAATCAGCATAAGCGTCAGCATAAGACAAATTTCAGCGAAACGAACAGGCCACAAAAATTATCTAACTGGAAAAAAAAAACTAACAAACAGAGCTTACAATATGACATGAATGGAGTAGTAAAGTATCAAATAATTTGAGGGCAGACATATTTGGCATTTTGGCTCTTGAATCTTTGTTACCCAAAATATACAATACCACATCCGAATCTGTTAACGATCAACTAGCTGGGGAGAACTGGAGAAAGGAAGCAGCGAATTGGGGAGCGTTCCCGCCAGTGCCCTCCTCAGCCGGGCTCACAGAATCCGATATGACGGGGATAGCATCCGTGTCCACTGGGCACTGGCGAGTAGCATCAAGTGAGCAAAGTGACCAGTCGGCTACTTGCACGGTGGACGCAACCACAACCATCACGCCTATCACTGTACACGATTCTGACGGCCGGAGCCACCCATCGTCGTCGTCGGAAGTCGGCCGCCGCCTTCCCTTTGTCTTTATATACAAAGAGGAAACAGGAAACGGCGACGGCTTTAGTGATGAGCACGTAGGTAGTAGTGGTACAAATATATCTTCCGTGCCGTGCCGTGCCGTGCCGTGTCGTCTGCACGTAGGTAGTAGGGGCCAATCTACCGTTCTTCCTAGTTCCTATTCCTACGCATGCATCGTGGTTCTTGCATTGATGATGTGAGTTTGACTGTGTGAAAGTACGTGCCTGTCTTGGATCTATAAGCAATGTTGTCGATTTCATTTTCTGATAAATTATAATTTGTTTAACTTTTTTCACCCAAGTTTGACCGCTCGTATTATTTAAAAAATTTGTATAAACATAGTTAAATTTAAGTATTCTTGAAAAACTTTCGTTAATAAAGCAAGTCACAATAAAAGAAGTGATATTTAGCATAAATTTTTGAATAAAAGAGGTGGTCAAATTTAGGGTAAAAGAAGTCGAACAAACTATAGTTTGAAACGGATTTATTACGTTGAATTTGATGATACGTGCCAATCTTCCTGCAACGCAGCAAGTTGTTGGCCGTGGAGAAATAATATGAAAAGAAAAGTGTACGCTGCATTACGTATGCGAAAGCGGAGGTTGCGCCCCGCGGCACAGCGTTGCAATAAATTCAGGAGTAAATGGTAATTAATAATCATCCGTTACAGTGCCACCCGCCAGGTATTTAGGGGCCATAGCCGGGGGCCTGGCAAAATTACAAGCCGCCCTCTCGCCGAGCAGGGCGTCACGTCTACAGGATTACAGGGGTTCCATGGACATTCCACGCCCCTGCTCCAACCACCCTTCTAACGGCGCGTGGGACTTTGTCTCCGGGGGCCACCGCCTTCAGTCTTTTTTCAGTGGTGCTGGAGCTGGCCGTCGAGGGAAGCCTTCCGTTGGAGGGGATCCGTGAGGCGGCTCTTATCCTGTAGGGACACCGTACCAAGGTCTCCCTCACCGAGGGGTTAGGGTTACCGTCATGGGGAGCCACCACCGAGCGGGTAGACGAGGGCTTCGCCAGGATTTGCTCTCCTTTGGGTGCGAGCAGGCCCGGCCCTAGGGCGGGGCGAGAGGGGCTGCCGTCCCAGGTCCATGGAGCCGATGGGCCCTCCCCAGATACACATAGATTAGTATTAATATTCAGCATTCGAGCCCAGTAAACATACGGCAGATAAATCAACACAGTATGTCCATATCCACGTCTCCATGATCACGCGACTCGTCTCCTCTCTCCTCTGACTTATCGGCTTCCTCATGAGTCACGGCAGGCACCGCCGCCGCCAGGCAGCGAGCCGCCGGCGGAGCACATCTGCACGGTGATCCGCATAGGGCGACGACGTATTCTAGGCAGCCATGCTTTCAGCAGGCAGGCGGCAGCAACCAACAAATCACGTATGAATCTCTGTCATCCCTAACCATGTACGACGGACGCTAGAGTATTCAAATATTCAATGTGTCAGGCACTTGACTCCCTAAGGTAGTGTATAATTGTTTAATCTTTGTGATTTTTTTTTGCTAGCGTATTGATATTAGTGGCCCTGTTCACTTGTCTTATAATCCGTATTTTTCAGCTTGTTTTTTCAACCGGAATAGTGTTTTTCTCTCATAACAAATCAGCCGGAACAATGTTTCGGCTTGTTTTTTCAGCGAAGCGAACGGGGCCACTAATTGTTTCTCAAAACTAAAATTACTGAAGAACTATTTGAGATCTACAATGTCATAAGAGAGGTTAAATGGATTGATAACATTATGCATTGAGAATGGTTTGTTGGATGAGATTGATATTGACATCATCACTGATGATTTCGCATCGAGGAATGTTAGAAGAAATTTTTTAGGTATTTTAATATGTATATACAAATTATTGCATATGAATAGTAACATTCCGTATATGTGTGTATATATATACTAGCAATATATAAATAGTTCTTAGTAGTATTATCATGTTTATATAAAAGGGTCCAAAATTTTAGTTTCGTTCTAGGTCCACAGAAACTCAGGACCAGCCCTAGGTGCGAGGGACGCGAGGTTGATCGACGGTTCAGGCCACGGACCAGGTGCGTCCAAGGCGTCCCCCATCTCCTACAACTAAAAAGAACAAAGCGTGGATATTTTTTGGTGCGACATTTGTATTGGTTCGTCCGTCTGCCCACGCCTGCGATCCCGCGGCACCGGCAGGTGGGACCTCCCGTGATTCCGCAAGTCCCTCAACCCTCGCACCGACGCCTCTCTAGCCCGCACCCCCACTCCTGGTGCCCTCGCCCGCGCTCGCCCCCCATGCGACTCCTCGGCCCTTGTGTAACCCTAGCCGCCGTCGGTTGACGCGAGGCCGCTGCAGGCGCACCACCTCCAGGCGTCGGGAGGCCACGGCGGACAGGGCAGCGCCGGGCGACGCGAGGCCACGACGGGGTGCTCTCGACCGAGGACGACGTGCGCCGCATCCTGGGCTCCGTCGGTGCCATGGTGGAGGACCGCCTCGACCTACTCTTCGCTGTCATGGAGGGCAAGGACATCACCAGGCTCATTGCCGTGGGCAGGGAGCAGCTCGCCTACGCATGCTCTGGAGCCGCCGCTACCGGGGACGAGGCCGCCTCCCTCCATGCGCGCCCCCTCCTCTACGACGCTACCGGGCCCCGCCGGTGGCTGCGGGCGTGGCTGCCTCCCCAGCGCCACCTCCTCCCTCTACTCCGCGTGCGGTCTTGTGCTACAGGAAACCCTAGAGGTCACGAACGCCCAGCGTCGAGCCTGCCCCCGCCTCCTCTCTCTCTCCCTATGCCGTGTGCAGCCAGATCCAGTGCCCCCATGGCTGGAACCGTCGTCTCCTCGCCGGATCGAGGACGGCGGCGCCATAGCAGACGGCCATGGATGCGCTCCTCATCTAGGTTCGTGTGCCTTGCTTTTTGTTTGTTGATAATGATTGCTATTGGTTCGGCGGTCATACCGTCCCTGCGCAGTAGGTCAATCGGGACGAGATGCTGCCCCTCTCCGGCCTTCCTCAAGGAATCACGACGAGCTGCTGCCCTCCTCCGCCAGGAATCTAAAGCGAGATGAGCTGCTGCACCCATCCTCCAGGAATCCAATGGTATGTGCCCAGATCCATTCTCCAAGTACCATGCCTGCAGATTCTGTCCTTGCTTTCAAATAAGAAATAAGTATATCTCCAATTGTTCTGTTATGGAGAGGAGAAACAACTTCTCATTTAGAGCACGAATGCACTACTGATGTGAAACAGTAATGCATATGAAATGCAGATTATGGACTCGTCGTTCTCTCTTTATTCAACTTTTGTTATAGAGGCTCAACATGGTTTTAACAAGGTGCGTTCACATTTTCTATTTTTCCTTTTATTTGTTACTAGCTAGGTAGGAATATATATGTTTGAAAATTGGCAACTTGCAGTGTTTGATAAGTACTGAAGTAACTGGGGTCATGAATTTCTTATCTTCATTTTCCTGATATTGGGACCACCAATTGTTCTATTTTTTTTGTTCCTGATCTGGATCTTCTTTTTGATGTTCTTTGCTATGATTGAAAAGAACCAAACAGTCAAATTTCTGTAAAATGTCTTACACTCTTACCTGATGTCAACTGCGTCCATAAAATGCAGGTGGAGCTATTGTTTTGAAGGTAAAGCAAAGCTGCACTCACTTTAATGATTCGATGAAATGAAATAACATGTCTTTGGTTAATTGTTGTTTTCTTGAATTTTCAGATAGTCGACGAATGATTTGAATGTTTGAAGAATGCCAAATTGCGGATTTGTGCCTGGACCTGTACAAGGAATATGGCACTACAATGGCTGGCCTTAAGGTAACTCATGTTGTATTATGAAATGGTATGTTTGGAAAAATGGTCGCTGAGAGCATTTTTATTAGCCTACATTTGGTTACTGTAGGTATTCACAAATTCTGACAAAGCTCATGTGGAGGAAGCTCTGTGGGGTTTACTAGGAAAAGGAATGGACATGGCAGTGAGTATTCCTTTCTCTTCTCTCTATGCAAGATGGTAACAGTGAAAGAGCTAGGACTTGGGATGATGTTTCTTGATTGGGTAGCTTCATGGTAGTCCAGCACCAGCTAAGTTTTACAAAATTATTCAAGTTGATCATGATGATCTTATTTTTTTACTTACCTAGAGTGAAATAATATGCTCAAATAATGAAGCTTCAGATTTGGCTCTATGCTCAAGTAGTATACCTCATTCAAACATACATAAAGCAATTTGGTATGTGTGGCACATAATTACACTTCACAACTTATGGTCATTAATTGTTGGCATTTCCCTGTATGATCTGATATGTCTTAAAGCACAGTACACATATAATTTCGATATCCATTACATGACTGCTATACTGCCTAAGTAATGACGAGCAAGATTGTGGTTTAGATTTGGCCTTGTTTCATTCCTTTGCATGCTGATTGGTACACTACAGTTTTCTAGATGGTAATTCAGGTGAGGTGATCCATCATTGTCATTGACCACAGCAAAAGGACCTGCTTTTTCCAAAGAAACTGAGTCAAATTCAGGTTAGCTCATGCTCAGACAATACTTAAAACTCTACTTTTGATTCTCTACCCTGACTCCACGCCGCCAGGCCCAACTCCTACTGATTTCTCTGCCCCCCAAATTCATAAACTTTTGATTCTTTTGTAGGGCACATGGGATGGTTCATTGCCGGCGCGAGCCTCCGTGCCAGAAGCTTGTGACCTGCCGGCAAGGTGCTTTCGAAGAGGGAAATGCAGGTGAGGCGTTGATGATGCTGCAGAAGTGGTTTTCAGTTTGGTGCTCTCTAGATCATTTTGGTCCACGACTGCGCTCTGCAGGGCGCCAGGGTTCGTCATCAGGCGGTGTCAGGCCGGTGGACATCAGACCGCTCTGCAGGGCGCTGCACACGTGGCATGGCACATGGTACTTTGCTATTTCACTCTACAATTTTGCTGCAATAGTCTATTACAATTTTGCTATTTCGCACTTGAAAATACCATGATCAGGCACGCATCAACAGGTACAGGCCGATGCCTTGATTTTTTCAGGAGAATCAAACTTCTATTGCTAGCAGTTTCAGTGGCATTGTAAGTATTTCTCTGCCTAAACTGACACCAGTTCCAAGTCCCATTATCACCCATGCTTGATTCAAATATTTGGCGTAGCAGACAAGCTTGTTGAGAAGTAGACACATATGAACCACATGATCAGATAGGGATTACTCATGTACTGACTTATTCATTGAATCCATGATCTTGACACCAAAAAAATCTGGTTACTACTAACTGTTTGATAATTGTTTTGGACTTAGGTGTTAATACTTGGCTGAGTTAATTTTTAAGTGGACTTCAGATTTTGGAAGTGTTTGTTCAGTGGATTTAGAAGGAATAAGTGATCTTTTTAGTGCTTTTTTATATGTACCTTGCAATTATTTTAATTACTTAATTAGATAAATGGTTCTGATTTTAGGTGGTCAATCTGAAGCAATTTTATGTGGGCTAGATGAGACCCTGGGAAGTATTATGGTGATCCTTTCATCAGTAAGTTATTTTTTCGTATTAAATCTTCATCATTTGTAGTTTCAGGTTTCTTTTGTGAATTTGTGGGTACTGGATAATGCAAAGGCAGACTATAGGTTTCTTGATGAATTACTGACAATTGCTTGATGTATTATCCTTTTGGTGATTGTTGCCCACTGTTTTCCATACGGCTGCATAAATATATTTCTGCAGGCTGTTTTTTGTTGGACTCCAAACAGAGATCATGGATGCATGTATGTGTTGTACTAGCTGAACCACTGAATTGGAACTGATCTTTTGTTTTTTTGAAAGTGAAGTGGAAATGATATTCTTAATTTGGAATGAGAAAACTAATGTATCATGCTACAAACATAACAGGAAGGGAAGATCCTCTGACTTCTGTATTGTTACTCTGGGTTCATGTGCAGGGATTTAGAAATTGTTTGGAACCATTAACGCACTAGCATAAGTTGATGTTGCACTAGCTAGCTGCATAGGAACTCGCCTTTCTTTTTCTTTTCTTTTTTTAATCTATCATATTTGCACTGTATGGCTCAGATTTATAGTTTCTTTGGCTAATTTGTGGATGGTGCATCATGTTGCAGCTGCAAGAAAGGGCTTAACAGGTTATTCCCATCTGACATCTCATGGAATTTGGTTTGTCTTAAGGAATTCAGAAAATCAAAATATCAGGTACTTCCATTTTTGTTGTGTTTGTTTCAGTTCTTCGCTTTTCTATTTGAAGAACATCACTAACACATTTTTTCAATTCGATTGGATTTCAATTCAAATATTTGGATTGCATTTCCTAGGAATTTTCAGGTGGATATCACCCTTTGCGATTCAGAACAATCCCATGTGCTGGTTGCTGAGTATATCAAGTGGGACCTGGGTCTATGGCTCAATCTCAGTGAGGCATTTAGAGCGTTCTTCTTAAGCACATATCTTGGGTTGGCATTTAGCAAAAAGCTTGAAGCGTTGCTTTCTTTAATCCTAGATTAACTTAGCATTTGCTATATATGTTTACTCAATTTGTATGAGCGTGTTCTTTTTTTTTTTTGCTTGTTTTTGTCACTAGAACTGGAATCTCATGCCCTGTTTGGTTGGGTTTGTGGTGGAAAAAAAAAAAAGCTGTTGTGGGTCGTGGTTGTGGAAAAAGTCTGTTTGTGGGGTTTGTGAGTATGTAGAAAAGCTGAAAAGCTGTTTGGTTAAACAAGTATAAAATATACCTTTTATCTTTATCTCTCTTGAAACAACTATGGAAGAGTTTTTATTACACCAATTTCAAAAAGCAAAGCCAAAAGCCAAAAGTAGGGTCAAACCAAAACTTTCAAAAATGAATACGGAAAAGCAGTATTCAAAAAGCACCCTCCAAAAGCAGTCCCTTTAGTTGGGCTTTTGGCTTTTGGGGTCAAAAGCCAAAGCCAAAAGCCCAACCAAACAGGGCCTCAATGTGTCACTCTTATATTCTTGCTGAATTCTGTTGCATCTCATGGAACAGCAAGTCTCGAAAGAGGAAGGGGAAGGCAAGGCGAATTACCCTAGCGTCATGTTTATTGAAACCAGTGCTAAAGCTGGGTTTAACATTAAGGTATGCTTAACATTAAGGTATGCTTCAGAAATATAAACTGCTAGCAAATAGATTTATAGCTGGTGGAAATTTTATGAGTGCTCTCAGTCATTTAAATTAATTTCTACTTTATAAAACACTATATTGTGATGACTTTTGTTACTTGTTGGTTTATGAAGAGTGGTGACTGTTTGAAGACATCTAAGGCCCTGTTTGGTTGGGCTTTTGGCTTTGGCTTTTGGCCCCAAAAGCCAAAAGCCCAACCAAAGGGAGTGCTTTTGGAGGGTGCTTTTTCATAAGCAGCTGCTTTTCCGTAGTTTATTTTTGAAAGCTGGTTTGACCCTGCTTTTGGCTTTTTGCTTTTTGCTTTTCGAAATTAGTGGAATAAAAAGCTCTTCCATAGTTGTTTCAAGAGATAAAGATAAAAGGTATATTTTATACTTGTTTAACCAAACAATTTTCAAAGCTCACGATCCACAAAGAGAAGCTTTTCCACAACTTACTTCACAAAGAGCTTTTTCCCACAGCCACAGCTCAACCAAACAGGGCCTAAGTCAAAGTGGTGCCAGTCTCAAGCTAAACCTGAATCAAAACGGAAGCTTGCCAAGAAGAAAGCGGTGGCAGTTTTAAGAATGGGCAAAGTATATGTTACTTGATTGTGTAGTTCTCCTTGTTAACTGATACAGTTGATTTTAAGAAACATCGTCGTTTTGTCATTTTAATGTACGTCTCTGAAATGCCGCCGTGGCGTTAGCACGGGCACTATATATATATATATATATATATATATATATATATATATATATATATATATATATATATATATATATATATATATATATATATATATATATATATATTAGTACAAGCAATCAAGCTGTCCCAAGACTTGCATAGCGAAACCTCCATTATTATCCACAATCATGCTGATCGAAGGAGGTCTATTCGACACGATTACTAAGTTTACAACAACGCTCCTCTGTTAGATTGCTAGAATTTCAAAAGCACATGGCAAAAAAAAATATTAGAAGTTTTTTTAAAAAAAAAAGAACCGCATAAAACTATTGACTTCAAACAAAGATCACTTTACTATCCACAAAAATGCCAGCATACCGTAAAAAATACACTAAGAAAGAAATGGCTGTTGCGATTGGTGTATGTGAGGATATGGAATACAGCTTAGCACAATGCAGATATGTAAGTCGCATGCTCATGCTTTTATTACTTGTTTCCTATATACTATTCTAAACGCTACCATGTTTGATGTTTCTTTTGCCATGGCTGCACGTTCGAAAGTATATGCTTTATGTTTTCGATCAGAAGGAGAAGATGTTTATCATGATTGATCCTAGACCTATTGAAGACTGGTGTAAAGACACATCAGCGCTGATGTATGCCAGGTACACTCTTGGATTTACCTTGCAGTACATGGACGCAGTGAATGTACATATTCCTGGATGAAATGATGATGTCTTCAAATGGAAATTCAGACGGGAAGGAAACATTGCAGATGACATAGATGGGTAACTAACGCAGAGTCACTATAGCTTGCAATAATAATACCTACGATTTAACTATTTTTATATATCGCTGATCGTGAATCTTGCCATAGACACTTAAGTGGATATCTTATTCTACAGTATATGTCTATGTGGAATAGACCAAAAGCCACACATATTTATACGGTGTGTATAACACTTTGTTTTAAGTTTTTGTGGAAGATTTTTCAAGAGATGCAGTATTACCCATGCTACAGGCACTAATATTAACATATATACTCGAGCCTGTGTACAGGATGGTATGAAGATGCGACGGAACTTATTCGTGGATTTATTGGCGCACGAAAGAAATGGATATCGGAGATTTCTTCCTACCGATATAAAATATTATCTTAGGTGCATCACGGAAAGACCTATAAAGTAGAGTTTGTAAGCCTGTGACGTCGTGCTCTCCGTGACTGCTAATTTCACAAACTTTGCTTTTTGGATTAACTGTAACTTTAACGCTGATATTTAATTTTATAGTATCGTTATCTTATCGTGCGATCTATGTGTTTTTAGTACAAAAATTTAGTTGTCCCGTAGCAACACACGGACACACTGCCTAGTCAGATTATATATTTTCAAAGTCTTACCAGGTTTGGGTTAAGATGCTTTTTTAAATATTATATTGTGCGAGTGAGAACTTGCTCAGGTCTTGCCTAGCTTTTGGTGACACCCACATGTCGGCCCGAGGCAACCGGAAGCTAGTTCTTTATCAAATATTGTTTTGAGGACGGAAGGGGGCCGCGCCCGCTCCGGCGCCGGGGACATCCGCGGAGGCGTCCGGAGCGAGCACGGCGGAGGCGGGGCCACGGGTGGCGGAGGGCGCAGGGAAGGTGGGCCCGCAGGAGCGGCTGAGGAGCACGAGCCAGAGAAGATTTGGTTGTTGGGGATGTCAAAAACAACCTGTTGTTGCAGGGAGGCAAAACAACCCGTTGTTGCGTAGCAATTCTCTTAAAGAGTGTGTAAAATTTGATTAATACTTAAGTTTTAGTCATGTCATTATTAAGTTAGATGAAACATTGTTGTTATTAACGACGATCGTGAGCAAGAAGTTTGACCACTGTTTTTTATATTAAATAATGAGTTTGAAATAGTATGATAGTAGATCCATAGTATGTAAAATTTGGTAAGAAACATATATGTAAAAATCGGCAGGTGAATGTAAAATCTAAATATACAGAGAATTTTTTAAAAATTAAAAGTATTTCTATATGCGGTTTATCCAAACAACACTATGTCAGGGATAGTATTTAGGGCGGTTGGTGATGGTTCTAGAAATCAACAATTTACAGGGGCAGCTGGTTTTGAAAAACCATTCCCAGAGGCGGTTAGATCTAGCGCCGCCTCTAAAAATAGACGTCGAACACTAAAATTACGTAGTGAAATTGACTTTTAGAGGTGACTCGTTTTGAAAAATATTTGTAGATGTGATTTTAGAATATTTAGATTGAGCCGCCCCTACATATAAAAGGAGACATCTCTACAATTCATTTATCTAGTAGTGCAAGCTGCTCTAGAAATTTATTTACAGGATGGTTAGATTAAGCCAACCGCGTCGTGAAGTATATCAATGATGCGTCAAAAGGTAACGACCAAAACTATATTCAATCAATCTGGTTTATCTACATTTTATTTGAGTTCGGATACAAATTGGGAACGTGTACGTCATCAGAAGCATCTATGAGCTAAGAATGTTCAGAAGAGCAACCCTGCTCTGAATCAACCTCCTGAACAGAATACCCACACCATCTCCAAGGTCTCCCATGCTGCGCTCAAGCGCCCGCAACTGCCGCTCCTCGCACACAACCTTTCTTTTCTGGAACCTCTTGGACACAAGGGACCATTTGCTCGCGTTTGGACTACGGCCAATTTGCTCCGGCAAGAGCCGCGACACGGATTCAAGCAGACAGACAGCCGTCTCTCTGGCTTCTGCCATTAGTCTGACCACTCTGCAACCTTCAGCAGTAGCCTTGCTGGTCGTCTTCTTCAGAGGCTTGTGTGCCTTCTTCGCCAGACGGACGAACGACTCGATTTTGAGCTGGACAGCTGCGTCGTCTCCTCTCCTGAGCACCAGGCGCAGCTCCTGGACGCCCGTCTTCAGCTCCGCCAAGCTCTCTTGCATGGCGCTGCAGAGATCGATCATCACGAGAGACCTGTCGAGTTCTTCCTCCGCCATCTTCCTTTGCTGCGTCAAGGCTTGGTTGCTGGGCAAGCACAGCATCTCCTCTAAGCAGCTGTAGAGGTCCCCAAGCTGCCTCAGACCATCGCACGTGGTGTCAATGGTTGCCAAAGGCGACGAGATGCGAGGTTTCAGGGTCTGCAGCTCTTGCTCCACGTTGGATTCAGTGGAGTGAGGCAAAGAAGGCAGACTTGTAGACCTTTGATGGCAGGCCATTGTTGTGAAGGATGGTGTGATGATCTGTATGCTTCAGTTCTGTCTTCTGTGTGGAATGGAAGGGAAAGGAAGGAAATCTCTGTACTCTTTGTGCTCAGCCTTCTGATGCACTCTATTTATATAGTTAGGAATTGGCATGTCACCTCAGCCACATCATCAGTAATGGAGCAACTTGTATGATGAGGCGTAATCATCGGTTATGTTCAGTGCAACAACAACATCAATAAGTGAACTTGATGGTTTCATCAAAAAATAAGTGAACTTGATGGTATGTGGTGTTTGAGCAAATCATATGCACGAGCAGTTATCAAAAATCAAGGTGGGAAATTCTCAAAGAGAAGAAAATGCAATACGACATGTGCCATATTGGTGACTAGCTTCCCTCAAAAAAAAATATTTAGTGACTAGCTGACTTCACCTCCAAACAGTCTGTCAAACGGCAGTTGCACCTGCATCTCCTTATGTAGCATTGCTGGCTTGCCACTGTTATCTGCAGCACCACACGCCGCCTATACCTTGAAGTTGTTGGCACATTCTTCGCTTTTGGGTACCAAAAATCAGTTGGCGCATAAATTAGTAATCTCATATCAAGTTGATCAACAAATTAGTTGTCCAAATCAGACTTGTGTTTTGAATATTAGCGGCCGTGCATTTGCACGAGTGCTGAACTGAAATACAGGTAGACATATCTCAACCAAAAGAAATGGCGTGCAAATTATGCAACTGTCTAACCGACATGTTTGTTAAATGACTAACTGAACTCACCTTCCAATGATCTGTCAGTTGGTTTTCAGCATCTTATAGTTGCAGTTGCTCGTCCTCGTGCAACATTGTTGGCTTGTCTTGCTATCTGCAACACAAACACGTCATCATTAATGATGACATTAGACATTACCAAACGAAGAAAGGCCTTTCCATCAGCGCCACGAAACACAGAGAGATTGATATGCAGTTTGTCCGCAAGTAGGTCACTGTGGGACTAGTTCGCTTTCTTCATGCCCTGTCCTCTCACTAGTTTGCAGACATCATGACTAAAGAACTGCCCGTATAGTTGTTTACAAACTTGAAGTCCTCCTGCTGTGACTGTGAAAGGGTACTAAAGATATAAAGAATTTTATGGGTAAGTGTCATATACACACGTTGTATTCTTGTAACCCAAACCACCTTGGCTATATACATATCAAATGTCACCCTCCTCAAAGGCATGATTTGACATGTTTTTCCCTATCTTCTATTTATCTACAGAGATGGGACGTGCCTGATAAGCGAAGAGAAGGTTCGAGGTTCACTAAGTTACAAAAGGAAGATGCGGTGTGTGCTGCTAATTTAGTCTGCACCTAGAGCTCAATTAATTGAACAATTCAGCTTATGAGATGACATGGTGGATATTTGTCCATGTCAAGGATGATAAGTTATTGTCAAGGTGAGATGATCGAGCTTTGGTTGAGTTGGTTCTAGCGTGATTCCAACTAAGATGTCGAGTTCGTATGTATTGTGCAACATGTCTCTTGGCTTGTGAATGTGCAAGGTTAAGTGCATTAAGGTGGTCGACAACAATGGAGCAGGTCAAGCGAGGAGTTCAGGTTGATGGACCACGGATGGTGGAGAGTAAACACGAATACTTGCATCAAATGACCAAGGGTCTGGAGGATGGACCAAGTATGGCTAGCACATGACACGACGAAGAGCAACAGCAAACATGGAGATGGTGATGAAGACAACATTGACAAACAGGGAGGTCGCGGCGGGCACGACGCCTCGATTGGAAAAGCGCCCAGACGCCTAGGCAAGACTAGGCGACGCCTTAATAACTATGATTTTAGCTTCACGAGGGTGGAAATGTAAGTGAAATAAGTCACTATTGAGTCATGTATAATTTTATTTATTATTATATTTTAAATTAAGCATGCGTATATTTTTCTCTGATCTTTTTGCTTGTCAAGATAGCCTTCTTTCCTTCCTTTCTTTTCCATTGTTTTACTTTCTACTCTGTGAATGTGTTGGCAATCTTTAAACACTTAGTAATTATTTATCTTTCAACCATTATTATTGACTCTTTTTTGTGTGCAGAGGTTTCTTTATGTTTCTATATGCAGTATATTGCTTAAATATATAGTCCAGTCACTTGTATCCATGCTAAGATCCATATCATTTTGTTTCAAATAGATACAAGTAAATCAATGTGGACAAATGTGCCCATGTCAATCCTTATACTTGGATTTCTCCGGTATCTCTCCTTCAAAGTGGAGTTCCGTTGGAGGGAACAGCCTGTACGTAAGCAGACATATTTGTCTCAAGCCTCAAAGAGGCAGTTGTCTGCAAATGATCATCGCCTTTCGACTGTACCACCAGTCTCCAGATGGAGTCACCTTCTGTTGAGGCTGCTTTTGAAAGTTTCATTGAGAATATTTTGCGAGACTTTGTTTTAGACTTGTGGTATTCAGATATTACTCCCGACAGAGAGGCCCCAGAACTGATACGTGGATTAGTACTTCATGCTCTTGGTGAAGTATCAGGCAGGGTGAAAGAGATGAATCTAGTTGACATGCTAACAAGGTGACTGAAGGCTTGATATACTATCTAGTACATACCATCATTATTGAGTAATAGTTCTATGTTAAAAAAAAATTCCTATTTCAGGGATATGGTTGATTTGATTGGTAACCATTTAGATATTTTCCGGAAAAATCAAACTCTAATTGGTGTTGATGTCATGAGGACTTTGTCTTCCGAGGAAAGAGATGAGAGACTGAAGCAGCACCTAATAGTTTCACAGGAACTTCATCCAGCACTGTTATCTTCAGAGCATGAGTACAAGGTAATAGCTAACCATTTTAGCTTTCATGTTATACAATAATACAGCCATTAATTAATACGAATTTTATGTTCTTCAAGAAATCGTTGGGGGCATTATGGCTCTAGTTTTGAGACCACAAGATGCACAGAGTCCACTAGTTCGCTGTTTCTCCAGGGAACTGATGACCTGCCTAGTCTTGCAACCTGTTATGAACTTCGCAAGCCCTGTGTAAGTTGTCTGCTAAAACGGCTGATTTATGGCAATATATAGGCTTCAAGCAGTCTACGGGCTGCTTAACTGTAATTTAAGTTATCGAATTTTAGTTTCCGCCTTTACCTGCACCTAAGCTTTGTTCCAAATCTTTATTTGTTGTTTGTTTGTTTTTGTTTCAGCTACATCAACGAGTTGATTGTCTACCTTCTAAACATCAAAGATACAGGTAATGTTGGAGGAAATACAAACATGGCTAATACGGAACTAGTGCCTTACAAAGGAGGTTCACAAGGTTGTCAAATGGAATCAAGGAATTTGACTGTAGAACCTAGCAGCTTAATTCCACCAAATAATTATGTATGTGGTCACTTGTTACTTCTGAATGTGGAAAGTCGAAAATGTCAGAGGATGACAATGATAGTACCATCCAACCTCGTCAGCCAGACTCGGCGGTGGTATTGGATGCAGCTACTAAAAGGAGGTCAGAGGTTCTTGCCCCTGAGAATCTTGAGAACATGTGGGCAATCGGAAGAAATTATCAAAAGAAAATGATTAAAGTAGACCAATCATCTAGGTTGAAAGGTTATGGAGGTTCAGATAACAGTCCAAGTGCAGGGGCAGTGGCTAAAGAGCTATCCTCTAACTTCAACGAGAGAATTGCATCTGTTGATTATAAATACATGGTCAATTTGATGCAAAGTAAAAATAGGAATGCTCAATCTACTTTCGTCACAGGTAGTCATCCACTTGCTCTACAAAATACGAATGAAGTGAAACCAAAAGAGGGAGTCAAGTTCATTTCAGCAGCAAGGAGAAACCACATGAAACCAGCAACAGTGTAAAAGCTCAACTAAAACGATCTAATAGTACTCCTGATATTGAGAAAAGATATTTGGCAAAAAGTAACCAGCCCATGGTTCCCAGTGAAAGGCTAAATGTGAGGAAAAATCAGGATGAGAGAGGTGCTGGTCCTGCCTCACATGTTGAGGTGCTAATGCATGTTCGAAGATAAGATGCCGGGTAATTGTTTTCTAATCCTATCACTAGAACAATTCCAGTATCATCATCTTAACCACAAGCATCAAGTTGCTGGCTTTTACTGAATAAATTTGATCAATTGGATTAATTGAATAAATTTAACCAACCTGGTCAGGGTTATGTTGCTAGTATTCACCACAGTTTCTTGTGAAATTTTATTATTAACAATTATACCATTAGGATCATCTCTTGTGAGATAAGTTTCAGAAGTTTGTAACAGTTGGCAAATTGATCTCTGATTTTGTTGTGTTGCATGTTGCTGTTATTTTATTATTCTCTTTGCGGGCAGTGATTTTAAAATATTTATGGGCATGGGGTTTGCATCTCACGCGCTCTTAAGCTGTGCCTTTCTACTCTTAGAAATCAATCACTAGCTTCAGTCTTGTATTACTTGCCATATATGTTCCGGTTTTCATCCTTCCATAAGTAATCTAAACTATGGGAATATCTCTTCGTTTTATCGTATTCCGCATTTTCTGATTAGCACGTGGGTTCCATGGTTTCCAATGGTTTTACATTTTAGTACTTGGTGTCCGATTAGAATCAGATCTGTAGAATCCTGTGCTTAATTTGTATCTAGTCCTCATTAAGAGAATACATAAGATGCCACTGAATGACTACATGCATGATCCACAATGTGGCACTCATTGTAAGGCTGGTGTGTGAGGCCCAGCCCACATGTCAGTGAGTAGCATGTATTGAACATAAGAAGTTATTCAGCGTCATATGGGGGGAAATTGGTATTTGTGGTGGTTTGGTCTGATAATTAGTAATTAATTTCTAACAGTTTCCATTCCTGCATGATTACATTATATCAGGCCTAGCGGTTAATGTCATCATCAGTCCTCTTGTTCTTGATACAATATACATCTATTGATGTGAAGTAATGTCATTCTCCACAGCTGATGTGATTTGTTGGGGTCTATTTCTTTGCAGGTTGTTGGTGCATATTTTGAGAAACTAGGTTCAAAATCTTTTGCAGTTTATCCTATCGCGGTGACTGATGCAGATAACAAGGCCTGGTTTGTGAAAAGAAGGCATGGTTTTACTTGGCATATTTGTACATTAATTGCAGCTTCGAGAGAGGAACATGTATGATCCTGACCTATAGCTTCTATTTGTAGATACCGGAATTTTGAACGTCTTCATCGACAACTGAAGGAGATACCTAATTATTCATTACATCAGCCTCCAAAGAGTTTTCTTTCATCTTGTGTTGATGATTACCTTGTGCACCAACGATGCATTCTCCTGGATAAATATCTTCAAGTATGATTGGTTCTCTAGCATTTTTGCTCATCTTTTACTTCAAATGTGTTTATAATATTAATTTTGTGTTCAATAGGATCTCTTGTCTATAGCTAATATTGCAGAGCAGCATGAAGTTTGGGATTTCCAGAGTGCATCCTCAAAGGTGTGTGATTTACACCAAGCAAATCCTTATAGCCTTGTCATTAATGATAAGGACTGCACACATTTTCATTCAGTGCTTTCTTGAGGTTCTTAGCACTTCATTTCTTTTCCACTTTGTAGAATTACTCTGCTGGAAAGTCCACCTCTGTTATGAAAACCTTGGCTGGTATGCATGTCCCCACACTTGTTTTCTCCCCTTAAAAGCTATAACTTGCTATGTTCTTTTCTTAAAGACATTTTATTTGTTTTAAAACAGTTAATGTTGATGATGCAATGGATGACATTGTTCGACAATTTAAAGGAGTTTCAGATGGTTTGAAACGGGCGGTCGGCACATCGCCTTCTAGCGCAACTGCCCAATTTGCAGATAATAGGATGTCTCTATCTTGGAACCAGGAAGAGAAAGATAACCACAACTTGCATCAAAGAAACTTGGAAAGTGCTCATAGCCTATCAGATGGTGATAGTAACTACGAAGATCACACCTCATCTATGAATAGTGGATGCCATTCAGACAATGAGGTCAATAATAGAGGCCATACTTCAAATGATGTTAAGCACATCGAAACATATTCCAGTTTGGATAAACAAGCCAGTGACCAAATAGGAAAACCTACAAGGGCATATTCTGATTCTTCAAACATGTCATCTCTAAATACATTCGAGGATCCAACAGGAATTCCTCCTGAGGTACACCACACCCTGCTACTACATAATTTATTTGATGCAGATCATAGGGAATATTTGTTCTTACTGTTTTTCCTTTTCCTGATAAACCTTCTCTTCTATTTTGGCAGTGGATGCCAACAAATGTTAGTGTGCCTTTATTGAACCTGGTTGACAAGGTATTCCAGCTAAAGCGACGGGGTTGGATACGGTATGTTCCTTTATAATGAACTTTATCAAATTTGTTCCTCAGAATTTGCTTACTAGTTTCAGACCACTGTTACATAGTAACAAATTAAGGGACTGTTTGGAACAAAGGAATAGAAAACACAGGAATGAGAGAAAACACATGTATAGGAAAGGAAAGTAGTTGCAAAACAAAGGATTGAAAAAACATAGGAAATTTTCAAGATAGGTGTTTGGAATGCAGGAATGGAAAGAGTATATAGTAAACTTTCAAACTTGATTGTAATATGAACTTTTTTATACTAATCAAATCCTTAAGAAAATATAGTTCAGAACATCATTTTTAGTATATAAACTAGAGAGAGAGCCATACCTACCAAGCGGACAAAACTTTTCTTTTGTGTGCCATGGGGCTCAAACAGGAAGCTGAATGTTGTCTCGCTGTTAAGGCTAGATTAGCAATATAAGCATATTCAGAGAGCGAGCGAAGCTGCAGTGGCCACAGGAAAGCTTTCCATTGACTCGGAGCTCATTTTTTGTTTCCTGCAAAAGTACATGCTTCTCCACTGTTCCTATGGAAAGTTCTTTGCCGATTCCTCCAAACCAAACGCAGAGTGACGTCAGCAAAACAACGGTTTGGCATTCCTTTAACCTCCATTCCAAACAAGCACTACGGGAGACGCGCTCTTTGTCGAGTGCTCACTACTGGAAACAGGGACTTTGCCGAGTGCCTACGGCCTAAAAACACTCGGTAAAGGCTTTGCCGAACGCTGCACTCGGCATAGGCCACTCGGAGAAAAAAAAAGTCGGCAAAGCCTTCTTTGCCGAGTGTCATTTGTCGGGCACTCGGCAAAGCCTTTGCCGAGTGTCGATCGGACACTCGGCAAAGAAAAGTAGCCGTTAACGGTGCGCTATCATGACGGTTGCTTTGCCGAGTGTCTTAAGGACGACACTCGGCAAAGAATTTATATATTTTTTTCCCGAAATTGTTTGCCGAGTGTCGGCTCTCGGCAAAGAATTTTTTTATTTTTTTTTTTAAAGTCTCTTTGCCGAGTGTCTGCGGTGACACTCGGCAAAGCCTTCCCCTTTGCCGAGTGCCATTGCCTGACACTCGGCAAAGAGCCCAGCTTTGCCGAGTGTCCTTGCAATTACACTCGGCAAAGCTGGGAAATCTGGTGTTTTCCTCCAGTTTTTGCCAGCTTTGCTGAGAGTCGGTGCCCATTGCACTTTCGGCAAAAGAGGCCTTTGCCGAGTGTGACACTCGGCAAAGCGTCCTATAATTGCCTATTTTTTCTTGTTTTTACATTCCAACACTTCCATCACACATTCAAACAGAAAAATTTCACAGATATTCATCACATTCTTCAAATCCATGACATTCATCACACATTCATCACTTACATATCACAAACACCATTTAGAAGTCACAAACATAAGTGTCTCTAATATATCACATCGAAATTCACAAGTTCAAAAGTTGTTCATCATCTAACATTCAGTTTATTACCACAATTCCATGAACATGGACAAGTTCAAACTCATTACCAAATACGCCTTTGATCGGGCGGTGACTGATATGGATCCTGAGGATTAGGCGGATTATTGGAACCCACGCCGAGAGGAGGCTGCACAAAGGAGTATATGTTCTATGTGTTAGACATGTACTTGGCTAGCTAATTAGAAATTACTTGCATGTAAGAGACGCAATTAACTTTCATACTCACGGTGTAGGTCCATCCTGTGGTGAGGCTGCAGGTGGAGGTGGTGGAGCGAGCAGCTCAGGTGGCACAGCAAGACCCGTATGTTGCCCAAGGCTTTGAAGAAAGCCCGTGATGCTCGACAACCGAGTCTCATAGGTCTCCGTGATGCCCGTCAACCTACTCTCATAGGTCTGACGCTGGGACATCAGCTGCGCCTGCAGCTCTTGACGCTGCCGAGCTTCTTCTTCGAGCCGGGCCTGCAACATTTCACTCTAATGTTTCAGTAATGCATAGCTAATTACGGTGTGTAAAAGTCAATATACGACGAGTCAAACTGAAATTACCTCGAGGACGTCGACCCGCTGCTGTACAGCGGTCGGTTTGTGTGCGCGTATGGCGGGCTCTCGCTTTCGTGCTCGGGCTCGGATCGTGGAGAGGTCGGGGGACAATGGTCGAGTCGATTGTGCCATCGGCAATCCACATGCAGCCGTGCTTCTTCCCTCCTCCCAACCTCATGACGAGCTCCGTATCAATCTCCTACGTGCACGAGTCGAAGTCCGCCCATGGACCGACCTTGCCGCCAACGTGTACTTTCGCTGATGCGGTGTGGGCCGCCGGGTTCGTGTACTCCTGGGGCCCGTCCTCCAGGCTGAAGGAGACGTCGGACGTCACCTTTCCCTTGTGGGACATGCACCATGCCTGGAAGTCCGAGCACTCCTGGCCTTGATGTGCCGCCCTCTACGAGAAAGACATCAAGAAGATTAGAAATCAGTCATAATTTAGCATCAGAATAGATAAATAAATTCGTGTACCCATGCGTCTCTGTATCCGGTGAGGTTGCGGCTGCCTTGATGGTGTGCTGGTCCTTGCATCTCCAAACGTCGTTCCCTTGCAGCGTTGTGCGTCGAGGCATACCCCTCCGTAAACTAGTTGTCCACGATCTTCTCCCACGCCTCGGGATACGATCCGCACCACCAGGGAATCATCTGCATGTCATCCGGTAATTGACATATAAGATGATCGAATCAAACCTACTTATTCTCAAAACGAATCAATCTGGATGTTCTCATGTACCTCAATGTACTGCTCCTGGGTCAGGTCCATGGTTCTGGCATCGGCCTTTTTGACCCTCTGTCCAAGCTTCGACCCGTAGTAGGTGACAACGGCCTGGATCTTCGCCTCGTGAATCATGTCGACGATGAGCTTTTTGCAAGCTTTGGTCGCCACCTGATCCTTCCTGCCCTCAAATCCCTCCTCGCATTTGAAATAAGCCTACAGACAAACACGATATTTGTATGGATATTTTTTAAAGAAAAAGTTCAATGAAAGAAGCAATGCTATGCGAGGAGACTTACCCAGAACTCCCCAATGACCCGTGCTGCCTTGTTGGGGTACGACTCCATATCAGCGGCGATGGCGTAGTGGTCAAACGAACAGGCCGCCAACGTGTTGTTCTTGTACGTGATGACGCCGGGGTAGTGTTGCATGCACAGAAGACCCAGGATGCCATTGGGGGTGCGTGCACCAGCACCGAACACAACCACCCAGTTCCTGCACAGGTGATTAAGAAAAATTAGTAGTTCATCTTTGTTTGAACTTATCATATGAAGTAGGGGCAAATAAAATGTCAAGTTTACTTACTTTTACCCTTCAGGGCGAATCACTGGGCGGCGGTGAGGAAGCGGAAAAGCAGGGAGGCTCGCGGGACCTCGCAGGTACACCCTCGGAGCAGAGGAAGAGGAACCCGTGCCTCCCGCCAACGCCTCCTGCTCGTCGAAGGGCGCCTCCTCCTTGTCCTCCTCCTCGGGGGGCGTCTGCGAAACCTCCTCCTCCTCCTACTCCTCCTCCTCGTGCGCCCTCTCCACGGGCGTCACCGGCTTCGCCTCCTCCGACACCTGGAGACGTGCCGGGGGCCTCCTGCTCCTCGGGTTCCTCCTCCTCCTCGTGTCCGACCCCTCGGCTTCCTTCCCCACTTGGTAAAGCGACCTGACGGGCCTATGACGCCCACCCGCCATCTTTGTTGAATCACCTGAAAAAAAAGAAAAGTATTACATGTATTAGAAATAATATTCATGCTTACAAAACACTTAATTAGAAATAGATGCAAAATGATGATCAACTTTAGTATTGCATTTATTATAAATAATTGTCATTATTTGGATTAGCTGGATCATAGGTCTCATCATCACTATCAACATTGTCCAAATCATCAACACTAATTGAAGGAGGAATGTTGTCTTCATTGTCATTGCCTAAACGTAATCGCTCAAGCATTTGTAGGTCATCCACATTTTGGACCTCATCTCTAGCATCCTCATCATCAACCCTTTCATTGTCTACTTCCATTTCTATCGCTTCGGTTAAGTTTATCATAAAGCTTCCTTGTAGCCCCTCTTCTTGAAAGAACTCTCCCTCATATGTGCTTGGATTGAAGTTGTAATGTTCATCGTTTGGGGCAGGTAGTTTACCATGTGGTGATACCTTGTGCACAATAGCCCAACCCTTAAGCTCTTCGTCTTGGCACGCGTATGGCATATAATACACCTGGTAGGCCTGTTGAGCCACAATATAGACATCTTTTCCTGGGTAGACGGAATCTGGTTGAATCTCCACTAGCCCAAGATTAGGGGTCCGTCTTGTTGCTCCAGGATCAAACCAGTGGCATTTGAATATGACAGGATTAAGAGCTTTGGAACCATGAAATGAAAGTTCATAGATTTCCTCAATTCTTCCATAATATTGGACCTCATCAGTGCCTGGTGTTAAAACTCCGCTATTTGTGGTCTTTCGATTGGGCCGACTCTACTCGTAGCATGTTGTTTGAAAGCGATATCCATTCATGTCGTAGTCGTTAAATGACTTGACCCTAATGGCACAGCCGTTTGCAACCTGTCTTAACTCGTCACTTATAGTAACATCAGTTTGGGCCTTCCGTTTGAACCAAGAAATGAAATCGGGCCTCCCTGGTCCCGCACCCTTTGAAAGAAGGGTATCAGTTTCCTACGGGGTTGGATCCCTTCGTCCTTGCCAGGTTTGACGAGTGAATTCCCTGTACCAAAGAGAAATAAGGGCTTTGGATGTGAAATAGTATGACGGCGTATCGAAACAAGGGGGTTGAGAACTTACCCAATGAACGGCTGCACCTCGACAAGGTTGGTCAACACATACAGCATGATACTGCGCCACTCTTCATTTTTCAATTGCTTAGTGGTCGATGCACTTGCGCTTCTGAGCTGCCCTTGGAAAAGACTGAGCTTCGATTCATTTTCGCCAGCATTGTAACGAGGGGGTGGATTATGCACGCTAGGAAGGAGGTTCGGTTTGTAGTATTTCTGTGTGAAGGTTCCCACCTCCTCCCTAACGGTTTCCTCTGTAATGGAAGCCTCAATTTTGTCCTTATTTCTACATTTTATTCGAACAGTCTTCAGACATCTCTCGATTGGATAGCACCACCGGGCCTGCATGGGCCCCCCCATACATGCCTCATAGGGGAGGTGCACAATCAAATGTTGCATCGGCAAGAAGAAGCCGGGTGGAAAGATCTTCTCCAACTTACAGACCAACACAGGTGCCGCTTTTTCCAAGTCACGAACGATGGACCAGTCAAGCTCCTTTGCACAAAGCTGGCGAAAGAAATAGCTCAACTCTACAAGCACTTGCCATGTATGATCAGGGACATAGCCTCGAACCATCGCTGGAAGAAGCCGCTCAATCTAGATGTGGAAGTCATGACTCTTCATCCCATTGACTCACAGAGTGCCTAAGTTGACTCCCCTCCTCAGATTCGCTGCATACCCATCAGGGAACATTAGCGTTTGGATCCATTGAAGTACTTCCCTCCTCTGATCCCTGGTCAAGACGAAATCGACCTTAGGCCGCCTCCATGTCTTGTTGCCTCTAGGAGGCTGCATCTCTTGCTTTGGTCTATCACATAACATTGCTAGGTCCACTCTAGCCTTAGTGTTGTCCTTAGACTTTTCAGTGTCCATGAGTGTTCCCCAAAGTGCCTCGGCGACATTCTTCTTGGTGTGCATTACATCGATGTTATGTGGCAGAAGAAGGTCATCGAAATAGGGGAGCCTCGTCAAGCCTGACTTATGTGTCCACATATGTTGCTCACCATATCCCACAAACCCACCATCTGGAGCAGACACGAGAGCATCTATCTACGCATGAACCTCGGCACCAGTCATCATCCACGGTGGAGGGTCTGTCACTATGACACCTTTCGTAAAGTTCTTGATGTCTTGTCTGAATGGATGCTCAGAAGGGAGGAATTGCCGATGTGCGTCGAACGACGAATACTTGCCACCCTTCCGTAACCAGATGAACCTCAAAGCTTCCTTGCATACTAGGCATGGGAACATCCCGTGAACACACCAACTGCTGAATAACCCATACGCCAGGAAGTCATGCATGGAGTACTGGTACCAAACGTGCATTTTGAAGCTTGTCTTTGTAGCTCTGTCGTATGTCCATACCCCTACCTCCCAAGCATGGATCAATTCATCAATCACCGGCTCCATGAACACACCCATATTACTCCCCGGGTGTCTAGGAATTATCAATGACAAGAATATGTTATGTCGTTCAAAGGAGACACCGGGGGGAGATTGAGGGGGATAATGAACACGGGCCAACATGTGTATGGGGCAGCCATCATTCCATAAGGATTGAACCCGTCTGTTGCCAACGCAACACGTACATTACGAGCCTCTCCAGCTTTTTCACGATATATGTCATCGAAGTGTTTCCATGCTTCACCATCGGCTGGATGCACCATCTTCTCCGGACTGTACCGTTTTCCATTTTTGTGCCATGTCATCTGTTTCGCGGATTCCTCGTTCATGAATAGCCGTTGGATCCTCGATAGGAACGGAAGGCGCCGTACGATCTTCACTGGGACTATCGTCTGACTCTTCTGACCATCACCAGAGTCTATCTCCAGGTACCTAGACGATTCACACTTTGGACAGTACTTTGCGTCCACATGTTCTTTCCAGAATAGGACGTACCCCTTCGGACAAGCATGTATCTGCTCATACGGCATCTTAAGTGCCCGAAGGAGCTTCTATGAATCGTACATGCTCTTTGGCAGAATGTGGCCCTCCGGAAGCAGGGTGCCAATCACGATCAACATCTTATCAAAGCCGTCTCGACTGATGTTTAACTCAGACTTCAACGCCATCAAGCGTCCAATGGCGTCAAGTTCAGACACCGAGGACCGATTGTAAAGGGGCTTCTGAGCAGAGTTCATCATCTCGTAGAAAGCCTTTGTGGCTGCCTCCATCTCCTTCTTCTCGCGTTTGTCAACGCCGAGTGCTTGGTGAACATCATCTAACAAGTCTAGTACACCGGCATCATCATCAAAAGCTTCGACGCGTGGTCTCACCACCTCCTCTCTCGTACAATGGGCTTCACCATGGTAGATCCACCGGGTGTAGCCCGGCATATATCCATTCTTCACAAGATGTTTACCCATGTTGACCCTGTTTATCCTTCTCCTGTTTGCACATTTGGAGCAGGCACACGGCTCTAGCAGATGTGATGACGAAGCTTTATCCTCATGTTTCATGATTTTCTGAATTCGTTTGAATTTTATACAATTTGAAAACACTTTGGCCGCAACTTTGTCCTCATGTTTCGTTAACAAGATGTGAAAAATATCCCGCAAGTTCTTGGATACGGCCTCAAAACACACTCACTAGCATGACAATCATTTTTCGAATGATTAGATTTCATTATTCGATGCACGTGCAGTTCAAACTTGCTTTTTGCGAAATAAATCAACAAAACAAAAATAATTCTAAAAATATAGTAAAAAGTCACAAAATTCAACCAAATTTTAACATGTACTTTAAAGCACTGTAGCAACCCTAAAGAAAAATCTAGGAGCAAAAATAATAAAAAAAATTCTTTGCCGAGTGCCAGACCTGGCACTCGGCAAAGGGGGTCTTTGCCGAGTGCCAGAGACAGGGCACTCGGCAAAGAAAATAAACAAAAAAATAAAAAAAATAAAAAAATTCTTTGCCGAGTGTCTCACGGCGACCACTCGGCAAAGCCTAACGGTGGGTGGCCGCCGTCACCTCGGTTAGCCTTTGCCGAGTGTTTAGCTTTGCCAAGAGCCCAACACTCGGCAAAGGGAGGCTTTGCCGAGTGCTATCCTTTGCCGAGTGCCCGACATTTGGCACTCGGCAAAGTAGGAAACACTCGGCAAAGCCCCTGTTTCCCGTAGTGGCTCGGCGCTTTGCTGAGTGTCAAAACACGGGCACTCGGCAAAGAGGCAGTTTGCCGAGTGCCGCACTCGGCAAAGCCGGCACTCGGCAAAGGCCGTCTTTGCCGAGTGCCAACTTTCTGGCACTCGGCAAAGATGTATTTTGCCGAGTGCTATTTTTCGGCACACGGCAAAATGCGTCTTTGCCGAGTGCCTTTTTCTAGCACTCGACAAAGATGTATTTTGTCGAGTGCCTTTGTTTTGGCACTCGGCAAAGAGGCATTTTGCCGTGTGCATTTTTTTTGCCCTCGGCAAATCAGTTTTTCAAAGCAATTTTTGAGGCCCTAAATGAATTCAAATGAAAAACTTTTCAACTACAAAGTTGTATAACTTCTCAAGATCTACAAAGTTTATTTTGGTCATTTCTTCATTTGACAAAGCGACAATAACGTTGTTCATAAAATCTACATCTCTCATATTAGTTTCATAAAAGTAGAAGAGATATATAAGATTTGTGAACAATGTTACTACCAATATGTCGGATGAACAAATGACCAAAATAAACTTTTTAGATCTTGAGAAGTTATAAAATTTTGTAGTTGGCAACATTTTGATTTAAAATCATCTTGTCATGCAAAAACGACGTTTGAATTTGAAAATTTTAAAATTTGAATTTTTCAAAAGACCTCGGATGGAAAAACTTCCTAAATGAAAATTGTAGATCTTCAAAAGTTATGAAACTATGTGGTTGACAACTTTTTTATTTGAAATCATCTTATCATGCAAAACTACGTTTGAATCTCTCAAATTTGAAATTCGAATTTTTCAAACGACCTCGGATGGTAAAACTTCCTAAATGAAAATTGTAGATCTCGAAAAGTTATGAAACTTTGTAGTTGACCACTTTTTTATTTGAATTCGTTTAGGGCCTCAAACAAGCAATTTACTCTCGATTTAGTATAATATATGAGGATAGATAACAGAATCTAGACACAAGTGACAGTGTAGTGTAGTGGTAGAGCAGCAGACATGCGAGGGAGAGGTCGTGAGTTTGAATCTTGCCGGCCGCGTTAGCCATGAATTTAGCGCAAAAAATGCAGCGACATCGATGGAGACGGGCGGGCGTTGGCCGGTGGCGGCCTCCCTCGAAAAAAAAATTTGAAAAATTTTGCTATTATTTTTGGGGTTTTTTCACATTTTTATTTTGCCGAGTGTAAATCTTTGCCGAGTGCCCGACATGTGGCACTCGGCAAAGAAGCCTTTACCGTGAAGGGATATGCCGACAGCTCTTTGCCGATTGCAGCACTCGACAAAGGCTTTGTCGAGTGCAAAGCCTTCTTTGCCGAGTGCAATTGCACTCGGCAAAGCACGCGTCTCCCATAGGGAAGGCCTAAGTGAATGATACACTATAATACTGTAGATGTAGAAACTTGTGACCCAAAGGCAATTGGCCTGATTGGAATGGTTACTAGATATCAGCATATAGTCCCATTTCATGTATTTTGGCAGTATATTCTCTGATGTTTGTTTAGATGATAATAAAATTTGGGTGGTTTATCGCCATTTTTCCATGTTTATAGCCATGCACAGACCACTTTTATTTTCACCGTCTATGCTTCAGTCCTACAACTTAGTCACTTCTACAATCCAGCGGTTTCTATCTTTCAATTACAAAACATGATGTTTTCCTTGATATGTTACGGAATCTGCAGGAGACAAGTTCTTTGGATATCAAAACAAATTTTGCAGTTGGTCATGGAAGATGCAATCGATGAATGGATCATAAGACAAATCAATTGGCTACGAAGAGAAGATGTCATTGTACAGGGAATACGTTGGATTCAAGATGTAAGGAGACACATTATCCCCCCATTTTTTTTCCTTCACTGGATTTATCTTGGTTCTCTTTTAAGTTTTAGTTTAAAATTTGATATTTCCTTTGATGCCTCTGTGGCACTATTTTTTTTTTCTCGAACGTGCTGGTGAGGTGAGCTGTGTATCTTATGTTAAAGAAAGGAGTAAATGATCCCTTAAAAGACCCTCAAAAGCAAACACTCTAACTCCACTAGAGACCAGAGGGGTTGTAACACTGGAAAAAAAAATCGCCCAAGCAAACTAGGATGATGGCCCCGTTCGCTGGTCTGAAATTTGACTGAAACTGGCTGAAAAATACTGTTCCGGCTGAATTGTTGTGAGAGAAAAATACTGTTCCGGCTGAAAAAAGAAGCCGAACAAGCCATTTTTAAGACAAGCGAACGAGGCCAATGACCATATAAAGAATATGCAGCTAGTCCTCATCACGACCTAGGCCCAGTTCTTCGAGCTTTTTGGCTCCGGCATGACCCCCAAAGTCTCAACTCTTCCTTGAAGAATTGATGTGCAACTTGTAAAGAGGGGGAGATGCCATAGGAAGCATATTTGTTCCTATGAGTCCATAAAATCCAGGCCCCCCAAAGTCACAACGCTATTAAATCCCTTCCTTTGAGCTTCGTCAATGTGACGACCTGCTTTTCTCCACCATTCAGCAATGCTTGATTCAGATCCCTTGTACTTCTAATTGTGTGATTGCGCAAACCATGTGAAGAGCTGTTCCAAACGCATAAAGTTTCACATGGATATATCTTTGTAATATGTGCATTTCAATAGTTTCTTTATCCTTTGTGGTTTATAGGTATTATTGCAGAAGTAATGTATTCCAAACTCTGTCTTTCTTTTTCTGTGCAACTAATGGATTTCTTATTTACAGACCCTTTGGCCAAACGGTATATTCTTCACCAAGTTGGATGGATATAAAGGGAATGCAGGCACAAGTCAATTTGACAAGCAGTCATTTGGGAGTCCCAACCAGGCTGTTGGCAACAAAAAGAGCACAAGCTCTTTTGAACTTCAGCTTGAGGCATCCAGAAATGCCAGTGAGGTCAAAAAACTTCTTTTAGGTTAGTCTATTGACTGTTTCGGGCTCGTGGCATTTTTTTTGTCTTTCTATTTATGTTTTTCCCCTGAAGATGTTAGGATGATGTATGTTTGCGACTCTACATGACTATATGTGGTGTACGAGCATGCTAGTTCTGTTTGTGTGTGCAGCAGTAATAACTCTGAATATCTGATCCATAGGTGATTGCCTTCAATGGGGTCACTTAGAAGTAAAAAAAGGAAAACATCATTGCTGTATTTTCTTCCAGACTTCCTAAGAAAGGCACCACTTAGGAAACACATCTAGAACTTGAGCCGTTACCTCAAGTTTATATCTGTCTATCACATGCCTTCAGTACCATGCCATTTAACTAACATAATTTGCTCCTCTCGAAAGTGGAAAATAATGACTTGCAAATTGCAATGCCCTTTCAGATGGAACTCCATCGACCTTGGTCAGCATAATTGGATACAAACAGTACCGACGCAGCGCAAGGGACATGTACTACTTCCTCCAAGTAAGTAAAACTCAAAATCCCTGTAATCTAAGCTCTACGATTGGACATCATTCTGATCTCCACGATGCATTACCGATGTGCTGTAGTCCAACGTCTGCATCAAGCAGCTCGCATATGCAATGCTAGAGCAGGTCCTCGTGACAGTCTTCCCAGAGCTTCGCCAGCTAATAGACGACATACATGAGAAGGGGCGCAAAGAGCAAGCCTCTTTCACATACCAACTCTGACCCAAGAGACTGTCAGGATAAACATGCTACTTCAGATAGAATCGTAACAGTTTTGAACCCACTTGCATTGCTCCACGGTGAGTTACTGAAACACAAAGGCTTTGCAATTGTATTTCCGTGGTGCAAAGTTGGATTGAGGAAGCGCTTGGTGTTTAACGAGGCTTATACCCCAACAACGATCTGTACAGATGTATATCAGAAGTTGTGTAAATTAGCCCCCTGATGTAGTAAACCAGAACAACTTACAGTAAGATCTTGTAGGTGTTGAATGTATGGTAGCATTCTTTAATTCTTTCCCCCAAGATTTAAGCTATTCCCTCCCTGTCTTAGGCTGAGGCTCCAGGCTTGTAAAGTTTTGAAGGTCTAGTGTATAGCTGTACTGTATGTGTTGCTGAGTAAATCAAAATGTTGTACGAGGTGCCACCTCGGTTTTCACAATATTTGTCCGGTCTGCATACTTAGGAGGCAAAAGGTATGTAATTTTTTCTTACCAAATTAAGTGATTCTTTATTGTTTTCGATAAAATATAGCTACTATAATTATCCAAACAGCGCAAATTTACTTGGATTTTATTAAGTATTACTCAGATATTATGCCGTCAGACAACTATTGTGAAAGGAGCAAGTGAATACTGCAAGAGACAGCAACCTTACATATATGTCCGTGTCTGATGATTCCCATGGGCATATATGCTTCAGCAACGTAGAGACTAGAGACATTACTTGATGGATCATCCTCCTGATTCTCGAAATGGCTTGGGGGTCGCATTTCCTACTGAAAATGCCAGTCGTTGCTGTCTCATGTCTGACATAAGCTATCCTTGAGATATTACAAGACACGGACATGGACCATCGTGATCATGGGCAGTTGAGCTCGTTCCTTGGTCTTCCTGGCATTGGCTAACTGCTCTGCGGCTTGACTCCGATCCAGGCCTGATTTAGATTGGGGTTAGGAATTAGTATTTGGTACTGTAGCATTTTCGTTTGTATTTGACAATTATTGTTCAATCATGGCCTAACTAGACTCAAAAGATTCGTCTCGTAATTTACAATCAAACTGTGTAATTTGTTATTTTTTTATCTATATTTAATCTTTCTGCATGTGTCCAAAGATTTAATGTGACGGAGAAAGAGTGAAAAAACTTGCAATCTAAACAAGACCCCATATGGACTTGGACTTGGGTGACACCTCTGACCACTTGTGATGAAACGCTTAAATGCATGCATGTGGACAAGGCTTGGCTGGCTCGTGCAGAAGACTCCTCTCCTCGGCGTGCACCTGTTTTGGTTGGCGGTTGGTCTTGGAGCTAGTCCAACTTGCCATGGCGTCTACCGAGGCAGAGGTCCCCCATAGGACCTAGCTAGCTACGCCGCACAAATGTCGTTCTCAGCGTGGAATCGAGGCCAAGGTGACACCAATAGTGCACAATGTCGTTTGTTGAAGAAAAAAGGTAAAATAGCCGAATTCGTCCCTGAACTATTGTGCTGGGCTCAATTTCATCCTTCAACTATAAAAACGTCTGATTCAGTCCCTGAACTATCGTGCTGGGCTCAATTTCGTCCCTCAACTATAAAAACGTCCGATTCAGTCCTTGAACTATCGTGCTGGGCTCAATTTCGTCCCTCAACTATAAAAACGTCTGATTTAGTCCCTGAACTATCGTACTGGGTTCAATTTCAAATTTAACACATTTGCTTTTTTATTTTTAAATCTAATCTGGTTAATATCTTTAAAAACTTGGTTCGTTTTTTTTAGAGCATCTTAAAGACCTCAAATTAAAAAATCAAAACTAGATCGTTGTAGATCTCCGAAACTACAATTTTCATATATATAAAATATCTCTATTTGACCCCATATATGAGAGATCTGATTTTTCCAATCACGATAAGCACTTATGCGTAATTAGTATCTTTTAAAAATTATTTATCTTTTTTGATGCATCTTAATGACCTCAAAATTTTAAACTCAAAACTATAAAGTTGTAGATCTCGACGAGATCTACAACTTTATATAAAATCATCTTCATCAAAATGAGTATAAAAAGATGCTAAAAATCCTAAATAAAGTTTTCCATTAATATTAATCACTACTTCGCCAAGTCCTTATCGATTGGAAAAACTATCTCTCAAACTTGGGGTCAAATGGAGATATTTTTTATATATGAAAATTGTATGAAGATGATGAGATCTACAACGCGAGAGTTTTAAGTTTTTAATTTGAGGTCTTTAAGATGCTCAGAAAAACGAACCAAGTTTTAGCAGTATATTAACCAGATTGGATTTAAAAATAAAAAAAGCAACTGTGTTAAATTTAAAATTGAGCCTAGCACGATAGTTCAGGGACCGAATCAGACGTTTTTATAGTTGAAGGACGAAATTGAGCCCAAATAATATAATTTAAGGGATGTAATCGGACGCTTTTTATAGTTTTTAGGGACAAAAAATTGTGCCTAGCATGTCGATAGTTCGAGTCGACCTGAATCGGACGTTTTTATAGTTGAGGGACGAAATTGAGCGCAGCACGATAGTTCAGGGACGGATTCGCCTATTTTGCCAAGAAAAAAATGTTGAGCATGGGGATGGGTGAGGATGATATCTGTGATGAAACCGACACCGACGGTCACTGACATGCTGGTCTGGGTTTCGCACCGTAGCGGTGTGGAGGTTTAGGGTCGCCGTCGATGAAATCCTATGATCAAGCACGTGTAACAGTGATGTATGATCCAGAATGAAAAGAGGATGAGACTCGAAAAAGTTCACTCGGATTGGATTACATGATGGATTTGGAACGGAGATGTAGATATGCATCATCTATTCATGTGTGGTATGGTTATATATATCCTGTGTCAGCAATACTATGTGTTACCTATTGTGATGTCTATTGATATCTTTTTGTTTTGTGAAACTATTGAGGGGCGCATTGCTTATCACTAAAAAAATAGAAAAATAGCGAATTGCAGTACAGTCACGCAGACGATGCAACCATAGGTGGCACATTGTCCATCACTGAAAAAATAGCGCTGTTACATCTCAAAATAAACTTAGAAAAATACGAGCACCCACGTCAAGTTGAGGATTTAAACTCGGACAGATTTATCATGAGGAACCTAATTAGCTGAGCTACGCTCTGTTAGCATTTACACCATTATAAATTGTAATCAAAGATATGGTGGTTGCCCTATCGCTCTCTGGCTGGCTGTTTCAAAGGATGGACATTACTTAAATATTATATCATATATTGTCATTGTACCTACAGTTCGTTGTTTGGAGTGAGGCAGCCCTGTTCGCTTGATCGTATCAGCCATGCTTATCAGCTATGATACAATATTTTTCTCTCACAACAAAACAGCATCAGCCGGCTTATAAACCACATAAACGATCAAGCGAATAAGGTGTAAATGCACTCCATCGATCAATCTGCGGTGGAATATGCAAGTTTGAATACATATTTATCTGCAGACAACTTGGATCAGCATAGTACAAGTGCATCCCCTTCTCCAGTGTATCAGGGGACTAGGACTTGGACCCCAACCATAGAATGCAGAGTTTGTTGTTTTGCTTGAGTGGAATAATAAGCTTATTTAACAATAATTCTGATCCATAATGATGACCTCTGCAAATGTTTGATCTCAGCTTTTATGAAAGAGTACATCCATAGATTCAACGAGGCTAGGGTTTATATATTTATCGTCTATTCACAACGGTAATTTTGCTATCGATCAAGAGGCTAGATTAATTTCCCTATAAAACATATAGAAATTCATTTTTCACCATGTGTTCTGTTGTTTCCTTGTGTGTTTACCGATAACTGACAGAATAATACGTAATTTTTTTGTCGGTTTGCCTATAACCATAAAAACAGTCTTCACCCAAAGGGAGATTTATTCATGTTTCTAGTAGTGATTATCAGTGCAACATTTTTACATTAACTATGCTACAATACTCCTAGTTATCCCAAACACAATGCACAAGATAAGAAGATTCTTATTTGGAGATGTCATCTACACCGTTTGGAAATAGATGCATGAGAAGGGGACACAACACACGGAAACAATATGTATGTTGGAATATATATATATATAGTACAAACGTTAAGAGAAAATCTCTCTTAAACTTTCGTCTTACTTTATGTAGAAGGATTAATCTGAAGTTGCTACCCATGTATGTAACGACAAGGATTATATGTTACCTGAACATGTTGTCTCGAGTTAGGATTAATTCTATCAGAACAGGACACATGCCACAACAGGTCGAACCAAAACACTAATGAACCAAGGTATTACGATTACATAACCCATGGACATAACTACCAAATTCCATGGTTGCATTATTGGATAGGAGCAGGTTTATGCTCTACTACAGAGGCCCTAAGGCTAATGGCCGAATATAATGATGCATGGTTCGTTTTGATCGGTGGTTGGATTCAGGTACGTGCATCAGTCACGTCGACGGATATGACGATGACACTATGACACCAGTCACTGGATCGATTGCCTAGCTAATAGTGCACCATTGCTGTACATGCACTTCATTTTTCTCTTTTATCAATCCTTTAGGGTTTATTTTCTTTATTGTGATGCTCTGATCAATAATCTAGATTATTGCGCTGGGTTATGGCGTGTCGCATTATTATTGTCGCAATATAATAAGTAAAATCTATAAGCGCCATATAATTATTACTAGTAGTAGTATTAGTTAGTAATTCTACCAACATGTTTAATGGTATATACCATTTGTCGGTACAGAAAATGACCAACTAGTGAATATTTGTAGTTTTGCCGTACGTTGTGATCGGAGGTGGCCTAGCACTCAATGACACAGGATTTATACTGGTTCAGGCAACGTGACCTACGTCCAGTTTGGGTCGGTCGGCGACTTTATTCCTGAGCCCAGGTGCTCGAAGTCTGTAGTGGGGTTACAAACGAGAAGGAGAAATGAGGGTTGTACGAGAGGCCCGGTCGGGTCCGACCGGAAGGGCCGAGGGCGACTGAAACTCCGCTT